AGCGTTGAGTAGGCACGTAAAATAAATTCATCAACTGAAATTGATTATGCTCCTGACAAATAAACAAGTCACGTGAGATTAGATTATTTACAATGCATGTACATTACATGCCAATGTTCATCATCATCAGCCATGCTCAATCTACTGCTGGGAGAAAAGGTTCCCCAATATTTTCCCCGATATTGTCACCATCCCTCATGATCTTGTGATCCACCCAGCTCATGCGCATGAGATGATCTCATTGCTTCATCTCTGTGGTGGTTATTTTCTCACACGTGTTTTCTCCATCGGTTGACATTCCATCCCAAGTTCTGTCCACTTGCTATTATCCCTTTTAGTCACGATGTGTCTTTGGCAAGCCTAATTAAAACTCTACTTGCATTTTTGCAATGTTGAATTGAGGAGAAAGTAAAGTAACCAAAAAATAACTGTATGAATTAAAATAGAGATGGTCAAAATGGGAAAAAAATAATGAAATAATGACTAAATCTATCACAATTAATTGAAAAACTGGAAAGTGTGCTGGGAGTGGGGGGGGGGACTCCAGTTGAATCGTAAACATGGCCCACAGGCAGCCAATGCCACCATGCACACATGTCCAGTTAGGGATGTTCATTGCATTTTTAAGGGTGTTGCGATAATTGCATGCACAAAAGCCTATTAAAAAAAGCATTACCAATCTTCAGCACACCCACAATGAGTGAAATATGGTCAAAACAAGCTCAATGACTGACATGGCGTGGTTAGGCCTTCATCTAGCAGTGGCTTGACCAAGTGGTGTACGTTTATTATATTGTTTATATTGTATCTATAATGATCAGAACAATGACATTGCAACATGCGTCTGTAAAAATGCGTGCCATGCGCCAAGCAGTTTGATCAAGTACTCAAAAAGTAGAAGATTATAGATTCCATGACTTAGGAATCAATACAATATTCCATAAGCAAACGGTAAAAATCGATAATAAAAGTGCAGGAGACACAAACAATACTCTAACTTACAATACAATAGTATATGTGCATAGGCAGCGTATTCTGCGTCAAGAGATACGAGAAAAAAGCTTATCAATATACTCATGGTGTTTTTAGTGATAAAGCAAATATCTGTGGAGTCACGTACCGCCTTGAAGACTCTTAATAGAAGACTCTTAATATTTACGTTGAAGCCTATTCGCCATTGTTTGAAGCACCATCGGTGGGGGAGGGAGAGAACACAGAGGTGGTGGGGTGGGAAAGGACTGGCACCAAGATGGCCTCGAGTGGCATGGGAGAGTTAACGCAGCGAATAAGATGCACGACAGACAGACAATAAACCCCTGGTGGGCACTGTGGAACATTGTTCCTACCTGTATAACTTGACTTTAGGTAGCCAGGCAGACAGCCCCCTTAACTATCGCCCCCCCTCCCTTAGGCCCCTCCCCTGACCCCCCCTCCCTTAGGCCCCTCCCCTGACCCCCCTTCCCTTAGGCCCCTCCCCTGACCCCCCCTCCCTTAGGCCCCTCCCCTGACCCCCCTTCCCTTAGGCCCCTCCCCTGAACACCCCCCCCCCCATATCCTTAGGCCCCTCCCCTGACCCTCCTCCCTTAGGCACCTCCCCTCTCCGTACCCGGAAGTAGGTCTCCACCAATCAAAGAGCTGTTTATGTTATATATTTATTTATGCACGACAAACAAACAGACAGTCAGACAAACAGACAGACAATAAATCCCTGGTGGGCAGTGTGGAACATTGTTCCTACCTGTATAACATATACATACACAAATACTAAGCTATTGTGAAAGCCCGGTGTGCTGTTTGTCCATTTGTCCATCAACAAAATTATAAGAGGCTTGCAGAAGTCCAATACGTTATAAAAAGTGGGGTGTAAATAGTTGATCTAACAGGTTTCCGAAAATTGTCGACCCCCCTCACCTCAAAATTTTGTTTTACCCCCGCGTAGGCATATATACCTACACTCCCTACATACAATAGAGTGAGGAGTATCTAGTGACTCTATAGTAGTATCTGACTCTACAATAATATCTGGCTCTACAGTAATATCTACTGACTCTATAGTAGTATGTATTTACTCTATAGTAGTATCTACTGACTATAGTCGTAACCACTAACTCTATAGTAGTATCTGCTGACTATAGCAGTATCTGTTTACTCTATAGCAGTATATATGACTATACCGTAGTATCTACCGATTCTACAGTAGTATCTACCGACTCTAAAGTCGTATATACCAACTCTATAATAGTATCTATCGACTCTATAGCAGTTAACTACTACACATAGTGCCGTGGTGAGGCCTAGTCACGTGCAGAGCCCCCGGCCTCGCTGCCACCCCCCCCCACCATCCCCCCGCCCGCTCGACAGTAATAGTATCTAAGGACTATAATAGTATCTACCGACCCTATAGTAGTAAGTGCACACATTGGGGAGAAGAGGACATCACACTGTGAGGAATTTACCTCAGCGTTGTGTATTTTTTGCTGAATTTTAACGCGAATGAGAATTCCCTCCACCGATCGCGTATGTGCGTTGCTAAGGCAACCACCACCCCAGAGACGGCTTGCTTGCGCATGCGCAGATGCATGCTCTGGCGCCACCCTGTGCTTATAAAAGGGAATAAATTATCTTTCGGTAAAGTCACGTAGAAGGGAAGTAATAAAATAATAAAAAATAAAACATAATAAAATAATTCTCACGACGTTTCGGCCACAACGCAAGCAGCCATCCTCAGGTGGAGAACAGGTCCGTCAAGTAGACAGAGTCTGAATGGCACGCTCCAGGCTTGGAGCGACTATTTATGCTGGGATGGAGGAGCGAAGAGCGTCTTGACAAAATAATTTGCATATCAAGAGGAATTTAGCATATTTATGGGAAATGCAGATATGCGATTAGTACTTCTTGTGAAATGCGTAGGAGGTTTGGCGAGGGGTTTAAAGTCATTATGCCCATGCATTATGCAGGATTAGCAGCATCAAAGGGAGGGAGTAAGGTCAGAATTAATAAAGGGAAGGAATGTTAAAAATATGGCGCCGCAGCAACTAATATGCTTATTGACTATACCTTGTCATATTACACTATGTTTTATTCTACCCACACTGCTATATATTCACTATAAAATTACGATACTATATATTACCTTATACATTGTATTAAACATTACACTTTAATACTATTTATTATTATATAATATGCTATACACTATACCATAAACCGTCGCGTGAAAGGTACTAAGATGAAGCAATTAAATATGTCAATGGGAGAATGGTGGTGGGAAGCTTGCAGCGGAGCAAAGAATCCATTCCATGCAGAGTGCATATCAAGAGGAATTTAGCATATTTATGGGAAATGCAGATATGCGATTAGGAGGATTGGCGAGGGGTTTAAGTCATTATGCCCATGCATTATGCAGGATTAGCAGTATCAAAGGGAGGGAGTAAGGTTAGAATTAATAAAGGGAAAGAATGTTAATAATATGGCGCCGCAGCAACTAATATGTTTTTAGACTATACATTGTAATATTACACTATGTATTATTCTGCCCACCCAACTGTATACCACACTGCTGTATATTCACTATACAATTACGATACTATATATTACCTTATACATTGTATTAAACATTACACTTTAATACAATTTATTATTATACAATATGCTATACACTATACCATTGACCGTCGCGTGAAAGGTACTAAGAGGAAGCAACGAAATATGTCAATGGGAGAGTGGTGGTAGGAAGCTTGCAGCGGAGCAAAGAATCCATTCCCTGCGGAGAATACAGGATATATAGTCAAAGTCAGTGAGTGGAACACGGCCTGAAAGTCACCGTAAACGTGGACACAATCAGTTAAGATCCGAAATGGTTTATTACGTCCTTCCAATGATTGCTAAGCCGGAATCCATCTTCTCGGTTGAAATTGTCTCTGTGTTTGTATATGTGGATCGCCTCATCAACGAATCTCCCATGGTAGCCAGATGGCTTGCAGATAACCTCTGTCTTGGAGAAGTCAATATCATGTGAACCCACTGAATTATAACAGTGATCTGCCACGGCTGAGGTGTTTGTCCTACCGTGTTTCAAGTCTGCTTTATGTTCACGGATGCGGTCCGAGACATGTTAATTTAATGACTTTAAAGTTGACGTGAAATACGAATAGCACTTTTTCGTCCCGGGGCATACCACGTGGTATCCGTGTACTTTTTTGATACGTAAACCCCACAGTTTGTCAATTAAAAAGGCTCAAAGTACCCGCGCAGACAGACAGACACACAGACAAAAAAAATGACGTTTATAGGTAAGATGTATCTCTTTCACAAGTCAAAAAGGCAAAAAGAGTCCACATATACTGGAGTGCATTTTAGTAGCACTCATCTGCATTGGTGATAATGATCCAGTGGTGAAAATTCCAGTATTTCCAGTAGACATGCTTTATTTTGTGAATTCTTATTTAAATAGTGTTATATTTTTACAAATATATACATGAATGTTTTCTACTTTGGTTTGTCTGACAGGAGCAATGACACTAATTTGTATTATGTATAGTATTGATTTGGTTTTGACATGAGAAGCTCATTGGCTGTACATCTACTCGTGATATGTACCTTATGGTGGGACCCCGGGGTCCCATAAGCCCCTGGCTCTCGCATAAACTGCGTTGCGACGTCATTTTATTTCTGTTGAAGGCGAACGATACGACAATCTATTCCTCTTAATGGGCTATACACGATGCGCTAATCAAAGTTTCGCTTGTTCAGCTGTTCTGCGCATTCGTCCTCGCTGTGCTTGGATGACATGACAACAATGATCCTCGCCAGGTGGGTCTCGGCGTTTATGTGCGCGGTGGGACGGAGTCGCCAAAAATAAATAAATTATTTGCGGTTTTGACTACCGTTTATTCGGGACCCCGGGGTCCCACCATAAGGATCATATTAAGAATACAGATCAGCAAAATCTGCGACTTTTCTTTTTTAAGGCATTTATTCTGACTGGTGATTGTGCACAGGAAAAGCGGCAAATTCTGAATAAGGTACCTCAGAGTTTCAATGACATAAAGCTCATCCTCGGCACAATTTCCATCATTATGGAGGAGTCTCTCACTATGGAGCTGATGCTGAATGATATCCAAGAGAAATATCACAACTTGGTTCTATTTGACATTGACGTAAGTACATTATTAGATGACATGTTGCTATCTGCCCATATATAGAGGTATGTTTGTCAGGGACAGCATTGCCTGTCGTATGATTAATGCTACTATGCCGAGTTGTTATGGCTGCCTATTGATGGTGCTAGTTGATGCTGGTATTAATCTTCATATCTTATAGTGTAACATCTTAAGCTGTCAATTGATAAAATATAGGTTTTTTGTTTAAATCAAATACCCGTGTATGAGAATAAAATATTAGTGGCGTTACACTTGACGAACACTTAATATCTGTGTGAAAAAAAATGTTATTTAATAAAAGATCTGTTTCAGTTAACACAAGAAGAAATTGAAGCTCTTGCTAATGTGCAATCATTATGGGAAAACCTGATAATGGACGCGAAGAAAACCAACTACAACCTAACCCCTTTAAAGAAACACTTTATGCAGGTGAGACGTGCTCATGTTTGTCATTAACTAAACAAAAAGTGTCACGTTATTTATTTCACGAATATACATGTATGGTTGCATGTTTTCACAGATTACTGCAGATGATATGAGCGTCTTTAAGCAAGACCTGATGCAGTTTATTGAGAGGTTCCGCTGTGAGGGCCCTGTCTCATTTGGACCTAACTTTGACAAAGGTTTGATATTTCTTTTTGATCTTATTCTATAATGTCGTAGTCAGCTCAACAGATTTTAGTATTTTAGTAAAGGTTTAAATTTTAGTTAGCTTGCATTTAACAAAAAGGCCAGTTATCTAAAATCATGTGAGAATAACTTTTTTAAAAGTAGCCTTAAATGCAGACCTGATTCGATTAAACGGTTGGTTTGGATGCTATTCAAACAGGGTTGCTATACTTGAATGGAAAATATATTTCAAAAGTCTCATTGGTTTACTGCTGTGACTCCCTATAGGCCTGGAAGTGTTGGTGATATTCCACAATGAAGCTGATGAGTATGGAAAAAGGAAAAAGGAACTGACAAACGCAGAGAAGCTATTTGACCTCCAAATTACTGCTTGCACAGACCTTGTTAGTGTTCAAACCGAAATTAAGGACTTGAAAGAAATCTACAACATTTACAGTCAACTGAAGGTTAGCAGCTTGAATACATGGATGGATATCCAAGTGGTAATCGCTTTAGGCAATGAGCCAGTTAGCAATGGTCTTTAGTTGAAATCCCAATAGCTGGCCGATTAAGCTGTAGCTTGTTGCACATTGTTTACCATCAGCTAAACAGTGTTCTTATGGATGTTTATCTTATTCAAAAGAGTAGACCATTCTATAACATGATAGCATACAATTTAAATGGTAACATTTTTTAGAGAGTCCAACCAATAGGTTAAGGAAACTGTAGGGTTCTTAGCATAGTCATTTTTCAAATGTTAGTTTGGGGAGTGTGATATAGCATTTGTGTGATGGTGGCATTGCAGAGGTATAGCATAATAGTGGGACTGCTGTTGCTTGGCCTCTGAGGCTGCACTAGTCAAAACATATTTATGTATTCAAATATATGTCAAATTACTGGAATAAGATGAAAACAAGACGTAGCAAGTTTTTTGATTTGCATCTTGCTGATTCCTCCACTAACACTACTGAGCAGGCCACAAAACAAAAGTGGGCACGGATGCTGTGGCGTGACCTGGACATGTCAAATTATGAAGAGGGGGTGGATGTGCTCATGAAGTCGCTGCACAGTCTCCCAAAGATGGTCAGGGAAATGTCTGCATCATTATTCTTGGAGGCTAAGATCAACGACTTCACCAGTGCATTGGCTCTGCTGGCATATTTGAAGGCAGAGGCACTGCAGGAGAGGTATTATGTGGGGGCCGTCGGCCCCCGGGGTCCCTCCCGCCTTCATCCCCTATTCCGTTTACGTTACCCCACCTCCCTATTACCCGCTACGGTTTCGCCGGCATTCGAACGCGACGCCCCTACGGTTACAGCTTCGCGCCGCGCTCCCACGCTGCGAGCATACGTGCGCACATCATCGTCGATCAAACGCCGTGCTCGCAGTATAGCCCTGTGCGGCACGTTACCAATGCGCATCCGTATCCGACACGTAACGAACGTATGCACGCACACACACACCGCGCCGTACACTCCAACTCCACACTGACTACTCGCGTTATGATCGTGCACCTGTGTCACACACGGAGTGAACACACGCGACACCCACTCTCGCACCGCTCTGCGCAGCGCTCCCCCGAGGCGAGCCGCAGCACTACAGAACCACTGCGTACACACGCTCACCCTGCACGACAAGATAACGCGAGACCACGCTTCGCTATTAATGATTTATTACCTGGTAACTAATGTTGAATCAGTGAGTCGACGAGGCTGGCCTATTCCACTAAACCGGCACCTATTCCCTATTTATCGGCTATGATTCTAATTCACCTTCTTACTCACTGTTAAGTGTCCACGGCGGTCCGCTGATCCTTGTGTTAACCGCGTGCCTCGGTACGTCGCACGGACGTCCGGGTCGCTGGCTCGAGCTGCGTCTGGTCGCCTGGCGCTGGAGTAAGAGAGCGATTTCCCCTCTGCGCTCTCCATTTATCCTGATTCCCGGACCCCTACCCCCTTCCCACGCACCGTGCGCCTTCGCTATGCTAATTAATCCTTTGTCCGCGCGGCGTGAACTCCAAACAATGGCACGCGCCCCCCTCGCCCGGGCCAGGCAGCTCCGCCGGTGCCTTTGTTCCGCTAATCAATGAGCGACCTGCACGGCGCAAATTCCAATCAATCCTTTTCTCACGCAGGCCCCCATCATCGAGGTTCATGCGGCGGTGTCCATCACAAAGGCCCGTCGTGGGAAGCTGTGCATGGCTCCCCGCGCGCCTCCCCTCTCCCGATTATTTATACTAATAGCCTTATCCTTTAACTCCCCTAACAATGGTGCCTGCGTACCCGAGCGTAATTATGCCGTTCCTACGCTGCCGGTGCGGGGGTGCCTGATTATGCAGTTCAGATGCGCTGCGTGTTTTCTAATGATGCTCCTCCATCACAATGCTTATTCCCTCTGCCTGCCCCGTCGATACTGGCGTGTGTGGGGGGAAATGCGCCTCAACCGCGCTGGCCGAATGCCCCACGCCGCGACCACACCATATTGAGGCCGGTCGCAGCGCCGCGGCGCAACGTAGCACGGGGGAGGTCATCCAATTCCCTGATCGCCGGAAACCGCGAGAATTAATCCCGATAAGGGTCTCTCGGATAAAAACCGGTCGATCAGGTAACCTTCCCTTCCAGCTCTATGGGGGGGGGGGGGGGGTGCGTGCGGGTGTGTGCTTATGTGGGGGGGGTGATGGGGGGCAGTGCGGTGGGGGAAGCCGGGCGGCTCCCTGGCTCGGCAGAGCGGCCCCGTCGCTGTGGCACCACATAGCCCCCCGGGGTGCCAGTCCCCGTCCCGGGTTGACTGGAGCACCTCGCCTGGGTTGCCCCCACGAGGTATCGCCGCGGGGTCCGCGGGATTCGCCCGGCCCTTGTGGCTGGCCTCGGGGGTGGCGGCTCCGTCTCCTGGGGCTCCGGCGGTGGTCTCCTCCTCCATTCCAACGGCTCCCCTCGGCCCCTGGCACCTGCGGGCTGGGGAACAAACTCAGAGGCGGTGGGGTTTAAGGGTCGCCGTCCTCGTCGCCCCCGGCCCCGCCCGGGGCCCCTCGGAGCCCTGGGCTCCGTGGGGCCCATATACTGCGCGAGGCCCCCGGGCACGGGGGATGCGGGTACTCCGGGATTTCGGGGCCTTCGGGTGACGGGGTTCTCTCTCGCCGGGGCCGCTTTCCACGGTTTTAAGCGGCGGACATTGACCACCGTCTCTCGACCCCTCTCCCCGCCATCAATTAGTACCGTCCAGGGGGAGATCTGTCGCACCACGGTCCAGGGTCCCCGCCAGTAGGTCGTCAGTTTCCCCACCTGCCCGGCCCCGACGCGAGGGGTGTGTAGCCACACCTTAGCGCCTGTCAGGAATAAGGGGGGTTCCATGCGGGGTCGGGTGCCCTGTTCCTGCCGCCGATGCGCGGCTTCCCCTTGCGGGTATGCTCGGCCTCGGGCTTCTCGTAGGGTCTCCAACAGGTGTTCCACGGGGCGGCTTCCCTCCTCCGGCTGGGGGGAAGGGACGCCGAATAGCAGATCTGCGGGTAAACGAGACTCACGGCCGAACATCATTAAAAACGGGGTTTGTCCCGTCGACGTGTGTACGGTGGTGGCGTAGGCGAAAAGGGCGTAGGGGAGGTGTTCATCCCAATCCCGTTGATTTGCGGCCGCCATACGTTTGAGTTTCCCCGCTAAGGTCTGATTCATGCGCTCCACCATCCCGTTCGCCTGGGGGTGGTACGCTGTGGTTCGGTCCTTCTGGATTCCGAACTCTCGGCACAGTGCCTGGAACAACTCGGCCTCGAACTCGCTACCCTGGTCGGTGAGGACTCGTTCTGGGATCCCGTGCTTAAGTACGTAGTGTTCCACAAATGCCCGGGCCACCACCAAGGCCGTTTTATCAGGGATGGCCACTGCCACGGGGTAGCGGGTGAAATACTCTACTGCGACTAGGATATATCGGTTGCCTCGATGGGATCGCGGGAATGGCCCCTGTAGGTCGATCCCGACCAGCTGATTCGTGCGGCTGATGCGGAACGGCCTTAGGGGTACCTGGTATCGTGCCGGTTTCGGCCCGCACTGCTGACAGGCGCGGCAGCCCTGTACCCAGGCCGCCACGTCTTGTGCCAATTTGGGCCAGAGATACTGGCGACGCAGGGTCTCTCGAGTACGTCGTTCCCCATCGTGGCCCCCGAGTGGGTGGTCATGCACCAGCCGTAGCAGCTGGGGTCGCACCTGGGCAGGAACACAGATGCACCCCAGCTGGCCGGCCTCGGTTAACTCCCGTACCACTCCGTTCTGCACACACAACCGGGCATACAAACCGCTCCAGGGTCCTGGTAGGGCGCTCTTTTCCTCCCGCAGTGCCGCCTCCACCGCCGCCAGATCCGGATCTCGCTGCTGGGTCTGTCTCAGCTGCTCGTCGTTTAGGCCCGGGAAGGCGCAGCCGACGTCCTCCTGGATCCGTCCGATCGGGTCCCGAGCCGCGGGTCCCGCGCTTGCCGGGCGGTCGACGGGATCCTCAGTGCCACCTGTGAGGGTCTCTGTGGCGCACACTGCACTCTCTCTCGCTGGGGGGGGGTCAGTGGCCGCGGCCTCTCGGGGGTCCGTTGCCTGCCGGCAGCGTCCCCCCGTGAAACACGGGCAGGCCTCCTCCGCCCTCGTCTCGGCGTACACCGTGGGTCGCCTCGACAAGGCGTCCGCGTTTGCATGCGTCCGGCCAGCCCGATACTCGATTTGCAGGTTGTACTCCTGCAACTGCGCCAACCACCGGGCCATCTGCCCCGGCGGCTCCTTGAATGTAAGAAGAAACTGCAGAGCATAATGGTCAGTGCGTACGCGACATCTCCTGCCGTACAAATACGGCCGGAACTGTTTGCATGCGAAAATCACGGCGTACAACTCTTGGCGGGTCACGCAATAGTTCAGCTCGGCCCCACTCAAGGTCCGGCTGGCGTACGCGATGACTCGTTCCGTCCCATCCTGTACCTGTGACAACACCGCGCCCAGCCCGCTGCTGCAGGCGTCGGTGTCCAAAATAAAATCGGTGGTAAAATCGGGGAAAGCAAGGGTGGGGGCGTGGGTGAGGTGGTCTTTGAGAGTGGTGAAGGCCGTCTGGCAGGCCCCCGTCCACTGATAGGGGTGCTTAGGGGAGGTGAGTTGGGTGAGGGGGCGTGCAATCTCGCTGAATCCCTTTACAAATCGACGATAATAGGTGGCGAGCCCCAAAAATGATCTGATCTCCGTCAGATTCCTTGGCCGTGGCCACTCCACTACGGCGCGTACCTTCTCCGGATCGGTGCACACGCCTGCCTTGCTGACGCGATGCCCGAGGTACCCCACCTCGCGTTGTGCGATGTAACACTTACGTGGCTTGAGCTTGAGATGAGCCGCTCGCAGTCGCTGGAACACCTCTCGAAGCCTGGACCAATGCTCAGACAAAGATCTACTGAACACTATCACATCGTCCAAGTAAATCAGGCACTGTTCCCATTGCAAACCCCGCATCACCAACTCCATCAACCGCTGGAACGTCGCGGGCGCGTTAGTGAGTCCGAACGGCAACACTCGAAACTCAAACAGGCCCATCGGGGTGGTGAATGCTGTTTTTGGCCGATCCTCCTCCGTCATCTCCACCTGCCAGTAACCGGACGCCAGATCGAGGGTGGAAAAATACCGCGCTCCTGCGAGACTGTCGAAGGTGTCGTCGATGCGGGGTATGGGGAAGGCATCGCCGAGCGTGACTGCATTTAGTTTACGGTAATCGACGCAGAACCGGGTTGACCCATCCTTTTTCGTTACTAGTACCACTGGGGCTGACCAGGGGCTCGCCGAGGGCTGAATTATGTTATCGCGAAGCATGTCCCCAACCGCCTCTTTGATCTGGGTGCGTTCGGGTGCGCCCACTCGGTACGCAGGGAGTTTGATGGGTCGGGCTGCACCGGTGTCAATTTGGTGCTTAACAAGGTCGGTCCGACCCACGTCCGAGTCGTGTTCGCTGAACACGTCGGCATACTCCCGCAGTAACTCGCGCAGCCGATCGGCCTCTCCCTTAGGTAAGTCCGCCCATGGTACATGTAACGCGTCGAGCAGGGGAACGACCTCGGCTCGGGGAGTCGGGCCGACTTGCCAGGCCAGGTCCTGCTCACCCTCAGGACGACCGGGGTCCTCAGCCCAGAGTGCGAACACCGAGTCGTTAGAGTGGCGTGCGTGCAGGGGGTGTACTG